TTTTCTGCTATTCGTCTGTCTCTTCTAAATCCTTTCAGATGTACTGTCACCCATTTAGATGCAACGTATTAAATAAAATGTCCTTTTAATCATTCTTTCCTTTTGGGGAGAATTGGATTGTGCTTCTATGACTTTGAATTATTATGATTTTTTTTCCCACATTATCAAGGTTTATTTGTAAATGTAATTTATCAGTTTATTTTTAGTGTATATTGTGGTAATGATTATTTGTAAAAAAGAAAAAAAGAAAGAGAATATTGGAATAAAATTTGATGTGTTAATCTCACCATGTGTAGTTTTATATAGCTTTTAGTTTTAAGGTCGGAAAAGTGTGCATTATGAAAATGAATTTTGAAATATTTGTTATTACTGGAATTCATATCAATATATATTCTGCAAAAAAAAGAAGAAGAGCCTACATATTTATTGCAAATATGAGGATACCATTACTTGCGTTTGACCTCTTACTTCTGTGCATGGCTGTAGCCGTCATGGTGTTCACAACAGTGACGGATATCCCTGTCATGGCTGCACGCCTTTATAATGGATTGTTTTCAAAGTTTCGTGTGTGTGTGTGTGTGTGTGTGTGTGTGTGTGTGTGTGTGTGTGTGTGTGTGTGTGTGTGTGTGTGTGTGTGTGTGTGTGTGTGTTGTGTGTGTGTGTGTGTGTGTGAGAATAAAATTGAAAAAAAGAAAGAAAAGAAAGAAGAGAAAAGAACATGGAAGAAGAGAAGAAAGAGAAAAAAAGAAAGAAAAGAAAAAGAAAAATGCTGTGCCATTTTTGATGTCGATGTATGGCTGTAGTTACTTGATTCCTACTCTTTTGCCACCTTACCAGTCATGTGACATGTCATGTGACTCACATGACCTGACGTGGAATACAGTGACAATTGCAGTTACACCCATCAACTTCCTCGAACACACTCTTCGCATATGAAGAGATTGGAGGACTCCGGTCCAGGTGCACTGGTCCACAGATCCCTTAATGTCTATGGCCAAGTTCCCGAAGACGATCACCAGTGATATGTTTGATGCCTTGACCTCTGCACTCCTCTCTCTTGAAAAGACAATACTGTTTTTGTACACTGAGATGGTACATACACTCCTAAAATGGAGTACAGACTATAAAATAAGGGGATGATTTCAATCACAGGATGTAGCTATTTTCTGTAAAGCACCTGCTAAACAGAGCTAAAATTTCTCAAGGCTTGTGAGCTGGCCCAGGTGCACACACCTCACATCCAGGTGAGTGAAACTGCACGCTGCTTTCACTCCTGGGAAGAGGGGCTGGAGATTTCTAGCCTGTGAGTAAAGGATTAAAGGCAGTTAACTGACAGCTTGGGGTAAACATGAGGCAAAGATGTTATCACAGTCTCCTCTTACTTGTTGTTGCTTGACAAAGCATCTAAAAGATTTACATGGGAAAGCTGTGTAATCTTTTTATATATACCAAATATGCATGTATGGTTTATGGTTGCTGTAAATGTATGAGATGTACAAAAGATTGGATTTGAGCCCTTTCACTGGTATGCATTTTTAGCATTACAAACTGCATGTTGAAAATTTGTGATGATAAAAAATCTAGCGATAAAAGAAGATCATAATATGATGTTGAAGCCCAAACCTACATAGAGAAAAAGAAGACTGACTCCACTACTTACCTTTGTGATCAAGAACATTAGTAGGCATTATTTGCTAGTGTGCCTCCTTGTCATATTTGGTAGAAAATACTATTGTCAGTATGTGTACATTGAATGATTTGAGGGTTGATTGATAAACACCCTGTAAAAATGTTTGCATATTTTGTATATATATATATTAATTTAAAGCAAGCATTTAGAACTCTGCAGGAAGTACTTCTCACATCTTTTTATGGTAATTTGATAGTGCTTTTTCTGTTGATATTATACAATATGCTGGCATATTTATAAGAAAAAGGTTAACATTTTGAGTTTAAAGCATATGTTTTTTTGCTAAACAAATATGATTTGCTGATACTCTAAAATACTCTTTACAGGCACAGTCTCTGTATCTGTCTGAGAAACAAGGGAAAAAGAACATCATGCTGAAGGACGGCCAGGTTGTGCAGCGAAAGAAAGCACAGCGCAAGGATAAGGGAGTAAGTTCTGTTTCTTCTCTAGCATCTGGAAATTTAAAGGATTTACAGGAAGAACTTACATGTATGAATATACTTGTTTATCTTTGATTTATAAGGAAGGAATAATCTGTTGGTTTGCTTTAGATTTCGAGATCTGTCTGATATTATTTATTTGAACTGATGTATATTTGGATGCTTAGGAATCTTAGATTTGTATAAAATGAAAAAGTTCTTTGTCTCTTTGGATTCCAAGAAATCCAAACTGAAGAACTGAAGTAAATTAGAATATATGGTTATATCTGATTGTTTCTGAAAGAAGAATAGATACCATCTTTTATTGAACTGAAAAAAACATTTGGATAAGTTCTGTTTGTTTGACTAGGTTGTAGGGTATTAATGTTTAGATTGATTCAATGTGAGGATAATAGGTTGTTGAACTGAAAAAAACATTTGGATAAGTTCTGTTTGTTTGACTAGGTTGTAGGTTATCTATCAGCAAAATCCAAATTTGCAAACAAGGCTTGCATCCAAGTTCATGAAAGTTATTATTAGTTTTCCTTTTTTATATATATATTTTTTTTGTTGAAATTTATCTGCATTCCATTTGTTACCATGATGTATGAACATGCATTTGCTATCTTTTTACCATACCTATCTATTAGTGTTTAATTTGTGAAAGGGTTGTAATTTATATATGAACAGGTAATTTAATTGATAGAGATGATGATTTATTGTTTCTGTTTTTCAGAAATCAAGATTCACAGCCTATATGTTGTGGGCGAGAGAAATCAGACCTGGCATTATACAAGCAAATCCCAACATGGGTAAGTAAAGTGTAAGCCAGTGTGTATATATATGTTGATTTAAATTTTGGCGTTTAAATGAAGACTGAATTTCTTGGTCGAAGGGGAATGGCTTAGATTGTTTTATTCTTGAGTTAAAATTCTTCATTGAATTTACAGTGAATTTAAGGTTGAATATTGTTTCGCAATTTTTTGAAATATTTTTTTAGGGTATAAGATCAAAAATTTTAAGATTTTTAATTTACAGATGATGTAAACATTTGTGATATTTCAGATTCAAAGCAGTTTTTCATTACAAAGAAAAAAGATAAAAAGAAAGTTATATCAAGCTAGGAAAATCCGTTGGCAGTCATAGACAAAAACAAGTAGCATAAAACAGTGCAATGTTGCAATATTTTACTAACTTAACAAAAGCCATGGTTTTGGCAAGGATTATGTGGATGTTCAATATAATCTGATGATTGGATGTATTTAGTGTATGTTTAGATGACCAACATATACTCTATTCTTCTCTTACTTGATGTTTCTCTTTAGGTTTCACCAGATTTATAATAATTTTAAACAGGCATTGTAAGCAAATCAGTTGCTTTTAGACTTGTCTTACATAACTCAGCTATGTTTTTATGTTTCAGATTTTTCTGCTGTGAATAAAAGACTGGGAGAACTATGGGCATTAGTACCAACAACCCAGAAATATGTTAGCATTGATATATGTTTTTGTTTGGTCTTGAACATACTGTGAAAATCAAACATGAATACATTTGACTTCATTTGGTTTCACCAAGTTCCGTACATGCTCACAAAGAGAACCCGTCGTTGACAGAACTGGAAGCGCCGAGCTAAACGCCTGGCCGCCAAAGGGAATCAGAAGGGCTCCATGATTAGCACAGGCAAGGCTGCCAAACAGTCCCAGAACACAGCCCGCAGCAATCTCATCAACAAAGGTGGTGTGAAACCCCAGCAAGTTGTACGCACTTCAGCAAAGCAGTCAGATGTAGGACCACCAGCACCTACCCAGAAGGCACACACTTCAACACCAAAGTGAGTAAAATGTGTTATGAAAAATGTATGTATTAACAGTATGTCTTGTTATTTTCTTTGCTACAGGTAGGTCACTGGGCCGTACCATAAAAGTTTCGGGAAAGGGCAGGCAATCGCCTGCCCTTTCCGAGCGTACCACGAAAGAACACTTTCGTCAGGCGATCCTTCGCTCGTGTTTCCGCTAGATAGAACAGCGCTAACTTTGAACGACGCGGGAAATTTTAAATTGTTTACCTAGTCGCACGCGGGAAATTTGAATTTGTTTACCTAGTCGCACGTGTCACCATGGCTGTCGCAGGTACATCAAAGAGAGTTACCCCTGTTTCTGCCTCGGATAAAGACATTTTGCTTGATTTAGTCAAAGAGCATTATGATGTTATTGGTGACAAAGCAACAAGTCACACAATAGTTGCAAAAAACACAAGGTTTGGCAGGAAATCGTAGAAAACTTTAATAACAAAACTGGGTGCATAAGAACTCCCCAGCAAGTGAGAAAAATCTGGGAAAACATCAGAAATAAGTAAGTTTACACGCAACATGAAATTTTTATACGCAATCATGACACATAAAAATAAATTGCATTGAATCAGGTCATAACTAACCAAGTAGACTCTACCATTGGCATGAAGGTCAAATCATAAAATAATGTCGGTTTCTCATTCCTTTTCAGAGCTAAAAATAGTTATGCAAAATTTAAATTTGAAAAAAATAAAACTGGTGGTGGGCCACCGCCTGCACCAAAAGAAAAAGACACCACAGGCAGTCTTATGGTCATTCAACAGGAACGAGATCCCCTTCATAATGCGTGGGATATGGATGCAGGCCTACAAGAGCAAGGTGGTAAGATTAATAAATCATCAAAGATTTGTGTACATGACATAGTCAGAAATAATGAATTGTATATCATAAATCTCATTGTTTTTTTGTTCTGTTTTTTTTTCAGACAACTCCCAAGCTAGAAATCTTTCTTTTACTTCAAAGACGACTAATGTAGGTGAAACCAGCCAAGTAACCTCAAGTGAAGTAATCTGCTGCAGTGACGATGATACTGAATTAGAACTGATTAGTGGTCCCGTTGGAAAATCAACAGAAAAAGGAAAGCCCATCCATAAGAAACTAAGGGCAAAAACTGAAAAACAGAAATCCCAAATTCAAATCTCAAGTGCTGTTGAAAATTATTATAAACAGAAGATGGAGTTAGAAACTCAGTTAAGCAAACGAACATTAGAGCATTTGGAAGAATGTCATCAAGAAAAAATTCACATGCTTAGGGCTAAAAGAATGTTTTGGGAGAAGAAACTGAAGGAGCTGGACTCTTTAAATCATTAAAGGCTCTCATCCTGGCATCAAGATTATGTATCCATGTTTTGCAATCTTTTTCATTAATATAAGTTTCCAGTTTTCTTTCTTTGTGTCACTCAAATTTGGTTTTGGATGAATGCTATATTTTAAGGTTATTTATTAACTATAAATAGTTCATGACATACACCTTACTTTATTTACTTTTATACCATCATACTTAAAATATTTGACAATGTACTTACAATAAGCAGAAAGTGTTATTTTGATAAAGGAAACAATATCAATTTTCATGTTTTTTATTATCCATTATATTCAAGATATAATGAATTATGCATATCAAAGGCATGGACATTATCATGAGGAATAGTATAATGAACACTCAAAATCAAACATAATTTTCATATCACGAGGAATAGTAAAATGTACAGTCAGAACAAATCATAACTCATATCATGAGGAATAGTATGATAGACAATCAAAATAAACCCTTATTTTCATATCATGAGGAACATTATAATATACAGTCAAAATAAATCATAATTGTCATATCCTGAGGATTGCTATAGTGTACAATCAAAATCATAACTGTCATATGCTTAATTTAAGCAAAACAGAAAAATATCAAAAAAAATGGCATTTTGGCATGAAACATTTAAGAAAAATATTCATTAATGATATTATTTATCTTCTGTTGACCGGCAGCATTTACAATGTTTTCTATATTTTCTTCAATATTTACACTTTCTTCCTCTCCATCATCATTACACATGTACAGATCTTCTTTATACTTAACAGCCATATTATGCAACACAGCTGTACTGCAAATAGTCGTCATGACTGTTGTTAAATTAATTTTCAATGGAATGGTGAGGCACCGGAATCTCATTTTCAGAACACCAAATGCTCTTTCAATGGTATTTCGTGCTTTGGAATGTGATATATTGTATCTGACTTCTCTTTGGCCAACAGGATTTGCCACTGGGGTGAGGAGGAATGGTAGCTGTGGATAGGCTGAGTCACCTAATAAGTGATGCCCTTCTAGCAGATCATGTTGAAGATCAAAAAATAATCTGCTATTATTAAGTATTCGGCTGTCATGAACAGAGCCAGGCCAACGGCACGCAAAGTCCAAAAATTCTAAATTTGGTCCACAAGCTGCTCTTAACATTCAAAGAAAAAAATCCCTTTCTACACCTGAACTCTTCTGCTCTAGCACCTCCAAGACTATGAATAGGTATATGTGTGCAGTCAACTGCACCCAATACCCCAGGAAAACCAGACATTTCAAAATAATAATTCCTGATGTTAGAAAAATGTTCTTTCAATGATCATTTCACATAATCTTGTTGCAGAGATGCAATGGCTCAGACTATTTTGGCTGTGCAGTTGCTCACAATTTGTTGTGAAACGTCAAAAAAGTGTCAGCAATAGTCACTGGAAGCTNTATAAAGTTCTGGTGATCCTGAAAAGAAATGCAACGTATTTTAGATTTTGACGTTCAGAATAAATCACTATTCTCTAAATATAACCCTTGTTATAAAACATACATATTTAGAACATTTTAATAACTACATCAGCAGATAATTATTAAGTTATTTACAAAATATCAACATGGATATAGTATCATGATTACACTAAAAATGTGTTATTTATCAAAAGACATACTTAATAACTTCTTACTTATCTATGTATTTGTGTTAATATTTAGAAATTTCATTTGGATTTTTTTAAAAAAAAAACTGCATTTATAACAATACAAGCAAACGTTATAATGCTGTTAACATAAAATAATTCAACTGGCTCAATTAAAGTCAATATTACCTCTCCATCTCGAGTTTCCTAAATCTGCAGCTTGTCTAGTAAATTGAGTGCTGTTGTTTTTGATAAGCGGAATCTTTTGATGAACTCATCATGCAGAGAATGGAAAAGATTCATCCTGTCAGTGATGCACCTTCTGGGAATATCCTGTTGGTCTGCAGCATCTAGGTCTTCAAGGGCTTCAAGACACTCTAATTCATCGAATGCTGCAGACATTTCTGAAACAAATTATATATATTAAAATCCTTGGGAGTTTTACAAGACTAATGTTTTTTCACTATGGTATCTGACTTTGAAATGAAAGTTAGGTTAGAGTACTTGGAAAGGGCATAAAATGTGTTCGGAAAATAATGGGTTAGAATTATAAATACACTATTAATGACAAATTCTGCCAATATCAAGTAAATAACAATGTGATCGGTTAAAATGTTCATCACATTCGTGTATTGTCAAGCGATGGTCATGGCCTCCACTAATAACAAGCTAACCAAAACGTATTTTCTAGGAAAATTGTGCTTTTCGATTTTTCTGATAATTTAATAAACAATTAACAACTATTCAAACAAATATGATGTCCATTAACTTAGTAATGTTTGAGTTGCGGTTGAAGATCATAGAAGATAAGTTTCTTAGAATCACTCGCTCTATCGTTTGCATATATTATTTTTCGTCTAAAAGGCGGCTGTATGAAACTGGACATGCACCAGTAAAACCTCTCAAAGTGTTGATTAAATGGCCAATGCCAAGACGAGTTTGGTACCACCTCATATCTTCACTGAGGAGCAGAGTTATTTACTTTAAATGCGCAAAACACGTTCACTCACTTTTTAAAATCTTTCATGATATGGTAACAATAGCTGTCAACAGTTTTCTTACCTGATATGTTTGTTTATTTTGGGGATGACAGTTACGTTCTCGATGCTTTCCACAGCTGCGCCTGTCTAGAAATCAACAAAATATGGTTTAATAATGTTAAAAGTGGGAAAATTATAAAATCACATTCTCTTATACAATCAGTATCGAAATAAATGGTAAATGTTTATGATAGGATCGCACCCGTCAGAGACGAAGTCCCCGACTCCCGCCAACAAGGTTGGGGGATCCCGTGGGGAGTCGGGTGTTTGGGGGGGGGGGTGATTTCGTTCATACAAATGCATTTTAAAAAGCAAAAGAATGTGGGAAATTGAAAATCTGAGCCAAAGATAGTATTTGAGATGACAAAGAAAGTGAAAAATGTAGGAATCCGAGAGAAGATTCGGCCACGGATGATTCGATACCATGTTGCGCGAGCGAACGATCGAGTGAACCGTAGCTTAAACGCACGAGCGACCAGTAGGATCGCCGTATGAACCCAAAAATCTTCCTAACCCGGGAGCTACGCCCCCGGACCCCCTCCCGATTGCCATATTTCCCTATCGGGAGCTCAGCCCCCGGACCCCTTCCCGATTACCGTTTTTTCCCTACCGGGGGCTTCGCCCCCGGACCCCCTCCCGATTATCTAGCTTCCCTACCGGTGCCTCTATATCGCCACTGACTACACTTGAAATACAAAATGAATTTACCTTAAAGTTGGGGGGACGGTGGTTGGGAAGTGACGAACCGCAGACGAAATTCTACAGCTGGAACACAGTTATTGTATTTCACTGAGTTTCGTGTTATCCCCGATATTGTAACGATTTCAGTGTGAGATCGATTTCACCGCAAAGTTGGAAAAAAATCGGAAACGCTAGTAGCACTGTAAACAACCTTCACTTTGAAACAAACGAGAACTGTAACAACAGAACTGTCAAATTTGCCGGGAGAGGGCAGCGATACGCAAGTATGGATAAACCATGTATTTCTAATGAAACTATGGTGCATATATGGTAAAATCGTTCACATCGTGTATTTAAGGAATGAACATTTGATAAATGCGTTTTTCGTTAAAATTTCACATAAATTAAAATACAGAAATACATTTTACTACAGTGCATTTATAAGAAATTTGTCGTGACGTCACTAGCTACATGCGCCAAAACAGTTCCTGTTGGGTTCCCGCGCAGCTAAGTGGTTCGCTGCGACGCGAGGGGTTGGACTTTGTCGCTGGAGGCTCATTCTGCGCGCCAACTTTTCCTCATTTAACTCGAAGAGGTTCGCTTCTGCAAATCAATTTTGATAGCAATGCATGTAGTTTTTCATCGCCTACAACGTTATGATCTTCAATTTTCTCCTAGTCCGTGCGGTCCTATCGTAAACCTTAACCAAATAAATAACACGTAAATTTTTAGTTGTTATAAGTTAATTAAAATTCATTCAGTTTAACTTTATTGAGAAATATTTACGAAAGTGGCGATGAAAGAGAGGGGTATAGCTGGCTTTCATAGTCGGGCGATGTTCCAATACTTTTTCTCCCGCTAAAGCCTGGCGAAGCTGAAAGTGGTGTTTTGTGGTACGAAAATTCGACCCTTTAGCGGCTGGCAACGCATTGCCTGACTTTTTTTTTTTTTTTTTTTTTTTATAGTACGGCCTTTAAACACAAGGCTTTTTTTGAAGGTGAGGGGTTGTTTATATATATCGTATAAGTTTGTTGCTTCTTTGTTTATTCATCTATTTTCCTCTGTTCGTCCCGCAAGTTTGTATAAAGGTGATACTGGAAGCAGGCTTTCTCGGATTAGGTTATTTTTCCCCTATGTGTTTTATAACGACTATGACTGTTATGACGATAAACAAATGCCACTAATACTACAACTAATGATAAAAAATATATATATGTAGCGATGGTGATGATGTTGATACTGACAAGGAAATCACAAAGTTGATCATGATAATGATCGTGAAAAAACAAAAGTAAAAACGAAGATAATATAATGATAAGAAATTATAATGTTAAGAAATTATATAATGGTTTTAGACTATCTATCTGTTGTTACAATGGCAATAAAAGTTATCAAATCAACAATGATATAGAATATACATATATTATTGATAACAATGATACTGAATCCTGCCTCTCCCTCATTCTCTCTCATACTTTTATCCGTTGACTTTGAATATTTTTTACCTTGAGTTTAAAAGATTTTAATTCTTGTGTGACATAAGACAGTGGAAGATAAGCATCGTGAAAACGTAATCAACTAAGTAACCAACATATCAAATGGAGGCTAAAAATTCCAACAAATGTAACACAGTAAGAATTTATACAAATAGATTTTAATTATGGTTTTAACATAAGAAAAAGATGGAGAGAGGGTGAGAGACAGAAAGAGGAGAAAGAGAGAGAATGGGTGTGGAGACTTGGAAAGAAAAATAGATTCAGAGAAAGAGGGGATTGGATAGAGAAACACGCCCAAACACTGATTCATTTTGCTGAAAAGGACACAATGGTATTGGAAATAAAAGTGTACGCGTATCTATTCCCAAAGAAAACAATAAAATTTAGTCCATATAAGTTCCCTCTTCAACACTGTAACACATTTATCGTAAGCAAAGAGGGAGAGGCACATACACACATGTAGACACAGAGAGAGCTGGAGAAAAAGAGAGGAGTAGAGAGAGAGAGAGGAGAGGGGCGGGAACAAGAGGCGCCAGGCAGAGAAAGATACGGAAACGGATAAAGAAACCGAGAAAATGAGATATACGTATATTTATAAATAGAGAGAGAAAGTTGGAGAGTTTGAAAAGCTGACTTCATTTTTCTCTGAAAGAAAATGATAATAACCAAAATGTTTCTCAACAATGGAAATATAATATGTCTACGTACACAAAACAAACAAACAAAAGTACAGGAAAAAAAAAACATTAATACAGCAACTGCAAGGGAATTAGACACGAATGATAGACCGCATTTTTTTCTTGTATACATATGTATTTTTAGAGAAAAGTTTTGTGAATAAAAATCATGTTGAATTGAAAGCTGTAGCAATGTGTTATTGTGACGATATGGAATAGGTATAATACTATGACCATACGAAAGCCTTGCAGGAGAAACAGGAAGTCAATTATAAAAGAAGTAGCGGTAGTGAAGCTAATATTTATAATAATAATAATCATTATTGTAATAACAAAAATGACAGTAAGAATAATGATGACAATAATGAAAAAATTTATAAAAAATGATACCAACAAAAATAAAAATAAAGATAATAAAAACAATGATGATAATATTGATAATGATAAAACTCATAATAATAATAATAATTATTATAATATTATGGATAATAACAATAATGGTCTTCATGATAATGAAAACGCTTATAATAACAGTGATAATTATATCATAGCGATGATGATAATAAAAAAACAACAATAATGGGAATGAAAACATAGATGATGGTGGTAAGAGTATTATGATAAAAATGAAAGTAACAACACAACTGTCGTATATAACATAAAGGAGAAAGATGAGAATAGAAAATAACGATAATAATGTATTTTTGCCAGTGTATATAAAAAATAGTGTTCTGTCTTCCATGATAATGATAATGACAGTAAAAATAGATATAATGATAATGGAGGTAATGATGATTCAATAATTATGACAATAATGATAACGAAGATAATTGAATGTTTTATAAATATACTAATGATAACTGTAATGTTCTTAATTAATAACGAAATTAATGATAGTGGTGATAATCACGATAATGGTCAAAGAAATAGAAATGATGACGATAATAAAGTTGATCACTTCGATTACCTCAATCATGAATGTCCACACGATTTTACTTTTAGTTGTTATAGCTCTGAACATTATGAACATTATTTTCGTGAAGATAACAATAAAAGTACAAGAATTACAATGCGCCTTTGGGGAGGGGGGGGGAGCGGGAGGATTTATGACACGAACAATGAAAAAAAAAGTTTTATTCACAGATCACTGAATATGTCGGTGGAAATCAAATTTGGTTTCAAACAATTTGTAATGCAAGTTTAATATCATTATCATTAGCGTAAATGCTCACTTCTTGCAGCCTTTACAGCCTCCGATGACAGCAATGCGATTTCTTATTCTGTTCAAATGCAGTTGTTACGG